TTTTTTTTTCGCTTTGCTCACGTGCCGGGATAATAAAATTTTACGTTTCCGATTGGCTAATTTTCCTTTTCGAATTTGTATCACAAGTGCAGTAGCTTTCATTTTTAATATTTTTTTCGTACATGATATAGTGAAAACCAATAATAAAAATTTATGAACATTAACGTTCATTTTTGTTTCGATTAACATATATGCATAATACATAGATCTGAATTTTATTATTTTTGACCGGCCAAGATTTCATTTATAATAGCAAAAATCTTACTGCAACAACCCCATATTTCTAACTACATATTAATGGTTAAAAGATTAAAATACGTGACGATGCTCCCTAATCTTAAATTTGCCTTTTACTGTAACCTCTATATCAAACACTCTTCCCAATGATGTTTGATTCGCTTGGTAATAAGTTTGCCTAAGATGGAGAATGAGATCAATAATCTGTTGATTCTCTACAGGGGGATATCAACAACACAAAAGATTGATTCAGATGGATTGCTAGCAGCAATTCCTCCACCAGTCATGAGATTATCTGAAATCGGTCGAATACCAGGAAACCTTCGAATAACTAATCCAAAAAAAAAAAAAAATAGTTAAAAGATATAACGAAACATTATCAGTGATTTTTGGACATACCATTAGTTATATTATTTTTATTAATATTTTGCTGAGTCCATTATCATTCCACTCAATGATAAATAACATTGGATCAATATAATAATCATCATCTATCTCATCTATCTCAGAGACACTGAAATTCGCTTTTACAGTTTTAAACCATTGGACGATACTTTCTTGGGTCTTGTCATTAAAAACCTTTAATGAATCCGGCATATTTTTGCTAAAAAATTTTTCAAATACATCAGATTAAGACATTAGTAAATAAACACATTGTACATGAGAAAAAATGAAGTAAAGTCAGTACACAATTGCTAAAGAAAAGCTAACGGGAAAAGTACACAAGACAATAAAGGTTGCTACAATGATATAAATGGTTTCTTTAGTTTCTTTTGGGTTTCTTTTGGAATGGTTGATGAACGATTATGCATAACAGGAATAATATCAGTCGATCAGCACCTGTTAATTGAGTATTATGGAAGTTTGTTTGA